CAGGAGATGATCGATGAGGCCGACCGCGATGGTGACGGCGAGGTCAACGAGGCTTTGGACTGTCGGGTTTTAGGTTCAGGACCTTGGGGCTAAGATGACAGACCTGAAAGTATCAGGTGTGGCTACAAGGGTTCCGCCTCATTTCTGGAATTTGCGTGATGCTGGCCACCAACCCCCCGGAGATTCCAATTCGCGCAACATCAAACCATACTCGGAATTTGTCGAACATTCAGGCATCTTTCTTAAACAGGGGGTCTTGGAGTCTGAGGGCTTAATCTCTCGGCACAAAGCATTGCCGCTCTGTCTTCAGGAGGAGTTCTTGCGCATCATGAAGAAGACCAACCTCTTTTAGAAGAGCAGGCCCGAAGAAGCAGTTGACCCAAAACCCTAGACCCCTTAAGCCCCTCAACCCTACACAGTCGGAGGGCTGCTCACGGCTGGCTGGGGCGTGGCAGACTGCCCAGAAGCTTCCGTGCAGTTTCGGCAGGCGTGGACGGGCAACCCTAACCCTAAACCCTAAACCTTCCGTACCTAGTCTTAAACCCTAAGCCTTGAGCCGCAAACAAAGTGAGTTCCAAGGTCTCTCCGAGCCAGAGAAGTACAATACCTGATGGCTGAGGCTCCACGTTCACGTGGGTAGGCGTTGGGGAATCGGAGCATCTTAGGGTTTGAGGTTTGTGCGGTGAAGGCGTGAATCAAGCCTCGCTTGACAGGAATCGCGAGTCCATCTCCTTGTCATATAGCTACTTTGGATAGCTGGAATCCGACGCGGGATGAACCCCAAGCCATCCTGCGCGCCTGGAGCCTGGGGCTAGCGCATTCTCCTTTTCTCTCCTCTCAGTGGCGGGTCGTGGCAAGATAAAGCTGGAAGCCCTGAATCCATAAACTCCTTAAACAACGGTTAGGATGTAGGGTGAACCCGAAGCGCTAGATATTTGTACATCGGAGGGCGACAGAGTTACCGGGAGCTCGGCACCCGCTACTGAGTGGGATGCTATAGGTCAAGATGAACCTCGGGCACTATCACTAGAACTGTCGCAGACTCCTTCTATTCCCGCGCTCACCTGCAAGTGGCACAGAACCGTGGATTTGCACAAAGCTCGAATATTTGTATACTGCAAAGGAAAACAAGCATGTGCCTCTGAAGGGAGCTGCATGCAGCATTGGGATATGTTGACGGCTCTTCTCGTAAGTCCCTCGGACTTCTTTCAAGATCTTGGTAACCTGGAACTCTACCGTGAGTGACTTTCACGCCGTGCTCTCGCTACTTCGGGAGACTGTGAGGCCTGGATGTAGAGGTTGGACTTTAGGCCTTTAGGCTCTGTAGGGTTTAGGGTTTAGGGTTAGAGTTTGAGGGCAAACACTTGGCAATCTCCAAAACGTCAGCCCATCTCAGCCCCAAACGGACAGCCTCAACAACCTACTCCCAGCCGTATGACGACTACAGACGCGCGGCGAAGACCCTGCGCTGCCTGCTTTGCGAAGTCGGGACCAAAAAGTGAAGGGGGGCAGGGCATTTACCCTAAACCCGACCGCCCCCTTTACAATGCCCGTAATAATGTTGCCTTTTTACCCTCCGTCGAGTTATTAAGGCCGCCACTATATGTATTCTATGTCAAACCGGTTTACACCCCAAAGCTAAAGAATTGCCCAAAGGGTTCAGGGTTAAATGAAATCCTCCCTCAAAGACTCCCCGAATATATCTGAGGCTTGTCTCGAACGGGCTGACTTGCGCTGGGGCATTAACGTCAATTCCCCCGAGATCAGTCATTGCTGTGTCGGGCTTCCATGGTGCTGTCATCGACCCTCGAAGTCTGACCCAGCTGCCACCTTGTTTTCCGCCGCTGCTGCCGCTGTCGTTGCCGCCGGTCCTGCTCACGTTGAGCGTGATGTCGATGATGGTGGTGGCGATACTGTAGAGTCCGATAGAGGTGGTGATGGTAGTGATGGTCATGTTGATAATGATGGTCATGGTGTGGCGATGTCCCATGCCGCTGACTCTTGATGTCGGGGATGCTTGATGATGATAACGGTGATGATGACGATGCTGACGGTGGTGATGATACCGGTTTTGATGACAGCGATGATGATGATGATGATGATGATGATGACGCTGACGATGATGACACTGATGAAAATACGGCGACGAGGAGAATGATGGTCATGAGGACAGGATGACAATGACGATGATGATGATGATGGTTTTCACAGTCATAGAATGGTTTTGATGACGTTGGTGATGAGGTGATGATGTTGCTGATGCGGTCGTGGTGGTGATGGTGACGACGACCACGACGACCGAACGAGTTGTTTCGATGCATGTTCGCAGACCAAACAGCGCATGCTTGAATCATAGACTTTTGGATATCCTCGACATCCGTGTTGTCACTGTCGTTGTCCTCCTGCTCCTCCTCCTTCTCCCACTCTCCTCCTGCAGATCCTCCTCTCCGAGCAGCGCCCATATCGTGGCAGCCGTGCAATGTGGCAACCAATCATGAAAGCCCCAGCACACTATCTGCCCCTGCTTGCAGAAGGCCGCAGCCGCAGCAGACAAATTGGACAGCTTCAGCGAAGGGGGGGAGCGTCTCGCGCCTTGGCAGTTCTCTTCAATTGTGCGGCTTCGCGCTGCGTCCGTGCCATTCGAAGTCAGTGGTTATGCTTTTCTGGGAAGTTTGAGGGCAGTTGTAAGCGTGTTGGGAAGTTGTTGTGGTCAGGCGCAAAGAAAGGATTTGGTGTTGACAGTTCAGGTTGTCGCAGCAAGGCCAAGTGACGCAGATACTCCCCGGCTTCGACTCCGAGCCAAAAAACCTTCCTTCCCGATTTTTGCCGGTACCCAGGTGGATCGCAGGTCTAGATTCAAGCTCGGTGCTGGTGCAGCAGGCAAGTGCTTTGCTGTTTCAAGCAACATCCGGCCGGGTGGGGCACGAGTGTTCCAATCAGTACGAACTCAAAGCCCCTAAGCAACCCTCCTACAGCTTTGTGAAGCTGAAGGTGTGTTTGCCTCCCGTTGTTTGCTCACTGTTTTTAGCTCCTTCCTTGTCTTATGTGAAGGAAGTCATAGAACCGAGTTCAACTTAGGATAGGACAGGCCTATGCAGGCTGGTACGACCTAACCTTTGAGCCCTAAATTCAGACCGACTCTAAGTCCCAAACGCTCAAAGCCCGACAGACCCGCGCCTAATCCGACAGCCTTCCGATGCAGATGTGCTCCGAATTCCCGAGTTGAACCTAGAAGCTGTGAACTTCCCTAAACCTCAAAAAAATGAACGTGAAGCCCTGTACCAGATCAAACCCACTGCCCTAAACCCGAAACCTTATCCTAGATCTGCGACCCGGCTGCGACCCTTTCAAACCCGGGAGCCTTTAAGCCATCAAGCCCTTACACCCTTAAGCTGTCAACCCTGAACCTCAAATCCAAACCCCTCAAACTCCAACACACAGAAGGAACCCACGAAATCCCTCATGCAGAAGCTCGAGTACTTCGTAACAGCATTTTGGAGGGTTCCCTCCTCAACCCCCCTCCAAAATCCTAGTCGAACTATCGCGGCTGCTATTCCCACTCTTCGAGCCCACAGGGCTTTCCGGACTGCGGCCCGGTCGTCCTTCATGACCCCGAGATCCAGGAGGTGATGCAGCATCCTGAGACTGGAAGCTTCATGAAGTTCTACGTAGAGTCTGGGGGGTGCTCTGATGCCGATTCGAAGGTTGAGGGGACGTCCGCACGATATGAGAGCTATGAGAACTAGTAATTAGCAGGTGTAGTTCTCTCGCAGAGTTGCAGGCTTGGTCTTCCGAGGGCCATCTGTCAGAGGAACGATCATGGGCACCTTCCTCGCAGATGCACATGGCTTCGGTGGTGCCCAACCGTAAACTCCCTAACGTAAACTACAAGAGCCTAAACCCTGAACCCTAGGCCCCAAACCCCCAAAGCCCACGGCCATCAACCTACCCCAAAACGCGCCCTAAAGCTTCGCTGGAGCCACCTATGAAGCCTTCCACCTTGCTTTCAACATCACATTTGAGCCCAAGGAGCGATTCTGCCAACATCCTCTACGAGCTCGCGGAGGATGCGCCAGGGTCCCAGCTGCCTCCTTTTATGGCTTTGGTTCGGGATTGAGCAAACAGGTTGAGGCCGCAACCAGCTGAAACCCAAGCCCCAAAGCCCCAAAGTCCTAAACCAAAATTCCTTAGTCCTTCCACGCCTAAACCTTGTACAAATCCAAAGCCACGCAGAAAATCAGCATGTTTTGTTTCAGAGAGCAGGAGTGCATTGCAGGATGCAGCCTCCGCCTCTGCTTGCAATCCTCACTTTGATGCTAGCAATCTGCTCTCGGATTTCAAAGTACCCCATAATAGTAACAGGGGTCATATCAGCTCCGGAATTCCACATTCTGACTCCTAGAGGGTTAGTCGCGGTTGGCATGTCGTCCTGTCAACAATAAACAGATGCAGTGGTCTTCCGTTCCTTGGACGTATGTTTGAAGACCTTAACCCCGAAACTCCGAGCTCGACATGACATTGAGGAAACACCCAGCGTTGCTCCGAGCACTCCGATAATGGCTAGCCGGACGAGTGCAGAAGCCCGCCAAGGCACGAGCAGATGTCGCTCCACCATGACACGGTACTGCTCTGAGCTTTGAACCCTGAGGTTCTCTAGTCGCAAAGTGCCCGCAGATCTTGTCTTGAAATCGTGGCTCGAGGCTATGCATTGCCTGCCCTCGCTGCCTTCCGTTTCCATTCCCAAAGTCCCAAAACCCTCAGAGCGCTAGCCATGAGCCCAATGCCGGTACCCGAAACCCTAAGCTCAGGAAGTTCAGTTGCACCATCCGAAACCCCGAATCCCCAAGTCCTGAAGCCCTAAGCCGAAATCCGCACGCCATCTCAGGATTGGACGCAGTTTCCAGAGGCGACGCCAAACATGCCGAAGCATGCGATCAGATTCATGGAAGAGGGGCTCCTGGAATCTCAAGCTCAGGGGGTTGACGGTTTGGGACGTTCCTTGGAGGGTTCCTTTAAGGTCGGGTTTGCGGGGTTTCTGATTTTCACCGTTTTCGGGATGCTTTTCACGCTTGATGGTGCATTGTGATTGCCTGTAAGAGTACCTTAGCTCGTGCCAAGTGTTGGGGGTAGGGTTTGAGGCTTAGGGTAGCACGGTTCATGTTCTCAACAGTGGCGATGCCTTGTTCAGGGCTCCCCATAGTAGGTGTTTAGGGTTCTAGAGGCGGGTGTCTTCTCTCCCTGAATGCCCATACAGGGCATGCGGGGCGGCCTGCGGAGGGTTTTCAAGGCACATCTAGGGTTCAGTTTTTTGGGGTTAGCCGGGTTAACCCGCCGCAGAAACTCGGGGTACAGTAGAAAGACCTTGAGGCAGCTTCGGCTGATGGTATCATGAACAGGAAGATGAATGTGAGTATTAACAACAATAGTAATAACAATAATTCCAAGACTAAAAATAAGAAAACAGGAAGAATAGCAGTATGATTCAAATTTATGGAGTCTGACTTATTCCCTCTCGGAGCTAATATGTGCATCATAGCCGGTCTCGCATAAGATCTGCTAGACAACGAAGTTTGGGAAGCTCGGCTTCCACCTTTGCTTCTAAGACTTCTCGCTCGTAAGAGGGCCTCCGAACATGGAGCGCCCCATGCCTCTCAGTGGCATAGGAAGGCCTATGCAACTTAGAGAAAGCTCGTAGCCTCTCGCAAAGAAGTCCATAATATGAGATGCCTTGCAGGTGGGCGAGGCGCTGAAAGCGATCGGAATCGAGGAGCTGGCACTCTGCGTGGCTCTTTGCGAGGGCACCCAGAAGCAGGGAGCTGGGGGGTTTAGGGCTCCTGGCCTTATCATCACACTTTATAACAAACCCGAAAGTTTAGAATTTGGGGTTTGGGATTTAAGGTGTTTGCGCTGTCAAGTGACCACTTCGGTCTGAGTCGAGGGTGCTTGCTGAGCTGTGCTGTAGCGACACTCGCAAGAGATGCAAGCAGTGAAGCCTCTCTTCGGCTGCATGGTCGGCGGGCTGTGGCAGAAGCCTGGTAGCTGCATGGTGGTGTGGCAAATAAGCCCTAAACCTGAAACTTGAAGCTTCAACCCTAAAACTAAAGCCCTTGACCATAAACCTGGAAGCCTAACCCTCAACTCCTCAACCCTTCAACTTCAACCCGAGACCCCAAACCAACCTGGGCTTGTTTCATCTGGCCAAGGTCCGGGTCGCGCCAAATGGGGAGCCTGAAACCTAGACGGAAGGATAGAAGGAACAAGATGCTGCTAGCGCTGCTCCTCATTCTGCTGCTTCAGCTGTTTGTCACAACAACATAAAGATACTGACAATGTCAAAAAGGATTCAATAACAAAACAGTAAAACCCTGTTTGAATCAGACGACTTATTGGTAGTAACCATAACCGTTTCGTAAAGGCCCTGCAGTACAGGTAGTAGTTTACAATAAACTTCAGTATTCATACAAGCATGCGTAAGTACAACAATAGTCACAGGTGCAACCAATAAAAACCGTATTCATTGCGGTAACAACGGGTTGCAGGAGAGCAGTAACAGGCAGACACTTCATTCAAGTGTACTACTACGACAGGCCATGTGTTGTTGAAGATGGCCTGACACACCACTGGCGCGCAGCACGTTGTTGCTCTTCGAAGATCCGGCCTCCTTGTTGCAAACCACGCGCGCGTGGCGCGCGATTCCCAAGATTATTCGAGGCTTCTGCTTCTGCCTCGAGCTCTCCGCCCAGCCAAAACCTCCCAGCAGTCTGAAACTTTGAGCTCTCAGCCCTCTGAGCACTGCGGTATCCGAGGTTGGCGTCGCTGGGAATCAGAAGAAGCGTAGCCAGGCGGCGAGGCACTACGCGTGCGGCAGTTTCGGAGCCAACCCTAAGCCCGACACCCAAAGCCGAATCCCGAACCATTATGAACCCTAAGCGGAATCCTGAAACTCCGACGAGGGACAGAAACGGAGAGCGAGAGAGAGACAGAGAGATAGAGGGAGCGAGAGCGACAGCGACAGAGCGAGAGAAAGAGAAAGAGGGACCGCGATCCATTTCCCAACATCGCTTGCCAGGCTCTCCCTGTGCCTAGCAGTGGCATCCGAGTGCTCAAGCAATGAGTCGATTTGCCAGAGGCGGATGTGGGACCTTTTGGAGTTTCATTCCACTTGGGCCCCAATGCTACTGAGATCTGGAATGTGTTATGTCTGCCGAAGAGCGACTTAGTCCTCCAGAGGTTCAAGACACTCGCTTCATACGTAGAGTCGGATTTGTTTTGCCCCCTGCTGCCTGCGGCCTTCTACCTCTCGTCGCAGGAAGGCACGGAGTGAGTAGACAGAAGCTGGTCACGGCGCACTCCAGCCGAAAACAACAGAACACGAGTGAGGCCAGGACCGTGCTCATCTGAACCGCACCCAATCGCCAGACTCTTCTCCAAGCTTCCCCATATTTCCCGAACAAAGCCCTTCACTGCAGTCGACCATGCTGGGGAGAGTTCTACAGCATGGCTGAGGCACAGGGAGCCGGAAGGAGATTTCGTAGCCTTGTCTCAGGAAAGTGCGCGACTTGTCGAGCACCTGCCGTTTCTGCGCGCGAAGTGACCAAGCGGCGTTCCAGAGAGCCATGTACTCGAATAAGGACCCGAACTACTAGGATCCATACCGTCAGAGCCTTTTCGAGGTCAAGGAACCACGGCATTATTGAGTCTCGCATATCTCGCTCTTAGCCAAGAGGCCGAGATGGAGGCATCGCATACGGCAGGCCAAGGGCTTGGAGCTTGCCTGGATTTCAAGATGTGGGGTTTTGGGGTTGGGGGCCCCAAGGGTTTCTTTGGATCAGAAGCACGGGAAGTCTATGCTATTTGCTGCGCAACTTCGTGAGACCGGCTGTGTAGATTGTTTGCAGGCCACAGGTTCGGGTACTGTCTGGTACTCCAGAACTCGAAACGGAAACAAGCACCATGTCGGCCAGGCAGATACTGTATCTGGATAAAGATGCTTGAGAAAACAATTCCGCACCATCTCCAAGAAGGCAAGGGCGCTGACTGACAAACCCCAAAAACCATGCTTCGGCACCCCCCGACCCCACCCGGCTTTGGACAGAACCGTAGTTGGCGACGGCCGATCTCTAGGCAACAACCCCTGTGCTGCAGGGCCCCGCCACCCGCCGAACGGCAAGGGCCGGCCAGGGCAACAGAAGGGTGCACGCCGTCCGAAGGCCCAGGACCAGGGCCAAGGGCAGCTAAGGGTTTAGGGTTTAGGATTTAGGGTTGGGTCCAGTAAGGGTTTAGGGTTTGGGGTTTAGGGGTTAAGAGAAGAGGGGAATTTCAGCACTTTGGGCTGCTGGGGAGATGCCTCTAAGGTTTAGCGCTAAAGTTCGCTGAAGTTTTTCTTCATCACATGGGCGCAAAAGATGGGTACAGCGTAACGTCACCAGAGTGATTCGGTTGCGTTTGCACTTCACATCTCGTGGTATTTAACAGCAAGCAGAAAAAGCATTCCTCAACCACTCAGGTCTAACTCGGAGCCCCCCAGACTTAAGACCCTAAGCCCTCAACCCGACATCCTGATCAAACCCAGTCTTAGGTTGTTAAAACCCTGGTCCAAACCCTCAATCCAGCTCTACGCTACGCGACGACCTTACGCAGAGATGCTCCAACTCCCAGAATCTACTGCCACGGGTCATTGCTCCGTCCGACCTTGCGGCAGCTGTTTAGCCCTGTCCCCAAAACCATAAACCATAGAGAGCTAGGTCTCGTGAAACCCGGTGTAGTCCCTGTATAGCTATGATACTACTGGCATAAATAGAGTCAGACCCCCTTATTCCGCAGAGTAGCCCAGGCAGGTTACCAAGTTTTGCTTGGCATCTCCTGGCAAAGTAGTGGGTTCAGGACTTCAGGGGTTTCAGGGCCAGGGTCCTGCAGAAGAATCTCCACATAGTCGGATCTTATGTCCCGCTGCTCAACGGCTCATACCTTCCTCGTCTGTCCCGAGATTTGGGGTGAATGGGGAATGCGTGTTGAATTCGGCGAAGAAATAGGGCGTGGGATTTGGGTTCAGGGAACTACTAAGGCAGAGCAAGCTCAGAAGCCCCGAACCTTGAACATGCAACAGGAGCCAGTCGTCAGCGCTTACGACACGGAGGAGGTTAGCACAAGTGTATCTAGGGATTGAATGAGTGTATATACTCTAAAGACTTCGTGGCGATTTTGTGGCTTAAAGTGGCTTACAGGGTTTATAGAGCTCATCGGGTTTACAGGGTAGGAGAGTGAGGTCTATTTTGGGAATTGGAACCAATGGTTTTCAATCAGGTTGCTAGGAGTTTCAGGCAGGTGGGCTTAGGGTTCAGGGTTTAGAATCCGGAAGTAGGGGGGCTTAAGGTTTCAGGTGGCGCCTTGAAAGCATGTGCTTTGACGGCCCTCTTGGCCGAGTGGCTCTGTCCCTCTTGCTTTGCTGGAGCCAGCTCACCGGACTGGAGCCCCCCGAAGCTGAACGACCGTTTAAACGCGTGAAAACTAAGGTTCCGCAGTGGTATCCTTTTGCTCGTAAAAACCTGCTCTGGGGCTTCCTCATTGAAGCTTAAACATGGGACAGAGGGTTTCTTCGTTACGAAGGGGATGCTGCAGAAGCCAGGTTCTGTTCCGTAGGAAGCCAAAGAAGAACTAGGTTCTGCCTGGTATGTGATGATAAGGTAGCGTCTGACTTTATGGCCCAGTCCCAAAGCCCTGTAGAGGTCTAATTGGTAACAAACGTCCTTACAGTTCCTATACATCTACATCTTTGGTATAGCCGAACCACAATCTAATCAATGTAGGAGCCTTAATAATTAGAATAGAGTTTTGGGGTATATTAGACTATGAACATAAGAAGGAACCCTCCCCAAAAAAATAGCATTGGAAATTCTTTCGGCCCCTATGTTATCCAAATTCCCTTCTAGAACTTGGAGTCGTGGTTTTTTTGGCCAGGATCCGGCCGATGAGGCCGAGGCGGCCAAAGAGCTTCAGGGTGAGGGGCTCTTTGGGTTTTGGGGGTTTTGGGGTTTAGGGTTTGAGGGGTTTAGGGTATAGGGTTTAGGGTTTAGAGGCTTTGGGCTTCGGGTTTTAGTGTGTTGAGGTTCAGCTTCTACTCAAACCTCTTGACAAGTCTAAACCTGATTTGGGGCCCGGTGACTGTCTACAGGTTCCTGGGTGTGTACTTCTTGAGTATACTTGCTAGAAGCTCCCTCCTCCATGCGTGTGTCTGTGTGTGTGTGTGTGGGTTTTCGTGTGATTGAGTCGAGTCTCCGTCAATGTCAAGCCGCACTGGCTCTGGATCCAGCCTCCTCGTCGTGCCTGCCACGCTCGTGGCCCTCTGCTGCCAGTTTATGCGCTCGTGCTTTGAGGGTTTGTCTTGGAGAGAGTGGGGGGCGTCAGGGGACGTGGGCTTTGCTTTGGCCTCCCAAGCTTCCCTGCGTGGCGACAGCGTAAGGTCTACAGTCGGCAGTTGTTTTCCGAAGTTTAGCAGTTTTACGTAGAGGTCCTTTTTGGATCCTCTGGAACTGCCATGTATGGGCAGCGTACGGGCACAGTTGCATCTTGCTTTTCGCAGAGAGCCCAATATCCCTTCATTAGCAGCATCCGCTCAATCTCACAATACTCCTAAGATCCCAAACCACTGGGGTCAGATTGAACGCCTGGTCTCAACCCCGGCGTAGAAGCACAGGAGTCGCAGGAGTTTCCTGAGGAGGTCCACCCCGATGCTCTCAAAGGGGGATTGCTAGGAGTGTGGGTCGCTGTAAAGTTAGGAGGCTCGTGGGTTAGAGAGTTCTAGAGTCTAAGGGTTTTGGGGTCTTGTGATTCTGCCCCTTCCCGACAGTTTCGTTCAGTCCCGTTCAAATCGCAGGAAGAGGAGGCCGCCGTGGAGGAAGAGGAAGTGCCCGTTGAAGCGGAGGTCGGGTCAAATGGGGTGGTAAGTACCTTCCTCCGTGGGGGATACAAGTAATCAAGATTTACAATGAACTTACTTACAACCCTAAACCTGGATGCCCTAACCCCACCCGTAGCATGTGATTACTGCACAGGGAATCCTCGGAAAAATGCTACGTATTCAAGCCCCTATATCAAGTGATCTCCGGAGATGTGCGGGTTCTGCGTGAAGCTGGGGTTTCAGGGTCCATTAGGGCCCGTCGGCCCTAGGATTCGGAGCTTTGAGGCTTTAGGGTTAAGGCTTTATAGGCTAGGGTACGGCACTTTAGGGTTTTTTGTCGCTTGGCGGCTTCCCAAGCTGACTCACTCACTGCGCGTGCCCATTCCACATGGCTCTGAAAACCAAATGCGTTTAGCAGCCTTTGGAGAGTGCGTTTGGGAAATTCACAGACCCTGCACTCCACAGGAGTTGTCCCTTCCTTCGCAAAACACTAAACGTAGCCCCAAACCCTTCAAGACTCCTAGAGACTCTCATAACCTTAAGCTGGGGAGGAGGAGCCTTGGGAGGAAGCCGAAAATGAGGAGGCAAGAGCGCGAAGTGAGGGTTCGTAGTTCATAGGGCATCAGGTTTAGGTTTTTGGGGTGTTGGCGGTTGCAAGGGGCATAGAGCGCAGATTCAGTAGAAAAGGGCATTCTAATCCGCTCTTGTAGCACGCTGCTGGGGTGTCTATGCCCAGACTTGGATGATGAGCTGTCATTGTAGGTGCGTATTGACATGATGAGCTTATAAGCAGGACCCTGCACATATTTCCTGGTTGGCTGAGAATGGTCCTGCCGAATATCTGCCCTTAACTGCTATACTACGACGACGACGATGCCGACGACGACGATTGCGACGACTACGACGACAAGGATGAGGACGACGACGACTGCTACTCCTACTACTCCTCCTCCTCCTCCTACCACTGCTACTGCTAAAAGCTGCTGCTGCCGCTGCTGCTGCTGCTGCTGCTGCTGCTGCTGCTGCTGCTGCTACGAGTACTAGTAGCAATAAGGAGGATAATACACATAAGGCTAAGGTCAGCAACAATACTAGCAACAACAATAATGATAGCAGTTATAGTAGCAACCCTAGTTGTTGGTGAAAAGAAGACAAGAAATTTGAAGAATAATACTAGCAATAACTACAATCATAGTAATCTAAATACCAAACACTAGTACCAATAATGATACTGATAGTCGCAGCAATAACATGAAAACCTCAAGCAAACGAAACCACTAACCCTTAACCTTACGAGCCACTCTAACCGCTTTAACCCCAAGCCCCAGCGCTAAACCCTCTACTCCCTATGTCTTGCAGCCATAAGCGCCACAATTTGGGCTCCTGAGTAGCTAGTCTGGCGAAGGTTGCCGAACCCGCCGAGCCTGTCGAGCCGGCGCCAAAGCGGCCAAGGCTTGGCAGATGTATCTGCCTTGCTTTTCAATCCAGGTTCACCAGTGTTACTCTTTCACACCTGTTTTTGATTGAAATCCGGGCTTGCTAATAAGACGGCGTAGTGGGAGAAAGGATATCCTGAGAGAGCCTAGACAAGGTTCTGTGGGGCTCTAAGGGTGTGTGATACTGGGGGGTTTGACAGGGGTCTACGGTAGGTTGCATGGCCTTTCTAGGGATCTTCTACGGATCCTAGTCCTTTTTTGCAGCTGTCGTTGTACTCAGGATCCGCTCAGAGAGAATGCTTTGGTGTGGTCCATGGGCCTTAATGCTCATTCACATTTACCTTTATTAAATGTACCGAACCACATTTCGCAGCTATGAACTACCTCGCTTGATCTTTCATGTTTAGAGAGGCAAGGGCGTGTCTTGGCATTTTAGCGTTTTAGCATCTCAGGCTTCGGGCTTTCATAAGTTCAACAGCCGTGGGTGCTGAGGTTGGCGTCCTTGACGGTGTCAGCGGTTAGGCTTCTACAATCCTTGTTGCACGTGCAATGTGCAGCTTTCTTCTGGACAGTGCCGGAAGTGCGATGTGGCACATGAAGTGGCCGTATGTGCAAACGGGGATGGCTCTCTTGTCTTGTTGGAACCTGTTCTGTCTCTGAAGGAGTGTTAAAGGCCAGAGTTCGAAAGGCATGCCAGGGAATTCAAGCGGCTGCTTGCTCAAACGTGTGAACACTCAGGCCGAACTTGATCTGGAGTCTTCAACGAACATGTTCCGTTCCGTGGATTCTCCTGACGCAGGACCACAGCCACTCCAGCCGCCGTTAGCAAAAGTGCCAGAATCCAAGCTATCAGGCTGAGCTTCAGGTCATGGTGATTTAAGGGAGATCCCTTGTCTGTCTGGGCCCGGACTTTCTGACTGAGTTGTGGCTGAGTCTGGTGGCCGCTTGCATTCTGCAAGTACGGCATGGATGATGTCGCAGAGGTTGCACTCAAAGCCCCACCCGTGCAAAAGACAATATCCAGAAATGAAAAAGGACAGCTACCCAAGAACCAGAGCCATGGGAACGGAATTAACCCGAAACCCCTAAAACCTGCAAGCCCCTTGAGCCCGCAACCGACGCTTCCTTTTCCATTGCAGTGTACTTCAAACGGTCATGTCTTCATTCGACATAGGTGTTACAAGAGTTCCGGAAGCCGAAGCCAGCATGAAAGCCGTAAAGCTTGCAATGTCCCCTGCACACCTCGGAACCCGGGGCGAAGAACTTGAAAGTCGTGGCGGTAGGAGAAGGTGCTCAACTGAGAAACGCTGAGCAACTGAACCCCAGCCCCTTTGACTTGCGGCTTCTTTCCGAGTTGGCTCCGCACTGGCTGTACATCCAGGACGTGGGGGAAGCTGACAGGATCTTTTGAATGAAGCCCGTCTACCGCCTTGGACGACGGACCTTCGATATCACTCTTGCAGTCGTATTGGTAGATTTTTTGCTGCAAGGCTCCTTAGATGCTGCATCATCATTGTCCCAGAGCTGTGCTCCCGGTTTCTCACATATCCCTGATTTGAGCGCAACAGCTTGATGAGCTTTACAGATTCCTTTCTGACATTCGTGCGAAGCTTTCATCCATGACGAACAGTCGGCTAACTCTTGACGCCTCACTGTTCGCAGAGCAAACAGGAAACTACGTAGGGAGCCGACTTGCTCACCAACTTTTGCAAAGCACGATGGACAATCCCGCGCCTGCTGCACCGTGCATGGAGGACATGCCGCCTTCCTTGCAGGTCGGTTTGTGGGCTCATGGATCTTGGATTTTGGACGGCTCTTAGAGTGGCGGGATGAGGGAACGGAGTGGCGCAGATGTTTTGGGCTTCCTATTGGGGCCTGAAGAATTCGTACAGGATGTCAGGGCATACTATAGTTAAATACTGCGAGCCGAAGAAAACTGTCCTCTGGAGACTCACTGTAGGGTTTAGAATTTAGGGTTCCCCCAGTTGCCTGCGCCCTGCACCATTCGGAGGAACTTAACTCTAAGAGTCTATCAAGGCTTGAGGCTTGAAGCTTGAATAGACAATCCCGCAGCAGTTCCTATAATATGGAGATCTAAATACTCATTGCCGGAAGACCCCGAAAAGTTAAGCCTTTGGCGCCAGGGCCTCCCGCAAGAGACGCTGTCTTTGTTAGCGGGCAACTGGAAAAGGCCTGCTTGACTTCGGTTTAGGGCTTAGGATTTGGGTCGAGAGTTCAGGGTTTAGGGTATGGGGTCGCGAAGGTCAAAGGTCTGATTGTTGTTTACAGGGTTTGGGTTTTGGGCAGTCGTGGCTGTAAGGCAGGAGCACTTCGTTGGGCCTGAAGAGATTCAGTCTGAATGTTTGAAACCGGAATACTTAAATCAGATCAATAATCTTAACTTGTGCAAACGAACTATTTGTTTGAATCGAACCCAGTTGGAGACTAAACCTAGTTCCCAAACCCTGCGATGCTGGAGGAAGCAGCTCCTAGATGCCGCAGACAACGCCCTCTCCGCTACGCCGGTCGCTCAATGTTTGAGCACGCAGCGTGTGAGGTGGTATGGCACTATTGGAAAATGGGATCTTGGGGTTTCATCGGGCCACTGCAATCCACTGCACTCTGAACCCTGAGTCCTCAACGTCGCAAACTGCGAGCCTTCATCCTTCATCTCCACACGGTGTAAGACTTTTTTCACTCGGCCTTCCCGTGTCATGGACACCGGATGGAGCTTCAGGCTGGGCGAGGAGGCGGACGAAGTCTACTTGGAGGCATCTTCCATGGGCGCAGGGGCCGTGGGAAGTATTTGAGGTTTGGGGCTGGTGTCTAGGATCTTGATCTTGGCTTCGAGGTTTTGCACTTGGGGCTGGAATGGCTGGAATCCTGGAATCCCCGAAAGCAGACTGACGAAGCCGAGGCCAGTGCGCAATATGGTCCACATGTAGAGCCCAATGTCTCAGACCCGAATCCTAAACCCTAAACCCCTAAACCATGATTGGTTTTGAGGGTTTGCAAGGCTTCAGACATTGGGTCTGTCGGGGGAGGAAGAAGTGCTGAACTCTGGGATGTTTTTGGAGCCGGCCTTGTTCTAGTTTCCAGTGTCTTGAATTCTTAGGAATGTTAGTCGTGAGGCTTCCTTAGCAGAAGGTCTAAGTTTGCAGGCCCTTGTATTGAAAGCCGTCAGCGCCTTCCCTGCATGTGCTTTTTGATCGAAGTCCTGGACCGAAATTCTGCGCAGGAGGATCCTGAGTGGACCAAATTCTCCTCCGTTTCCTGGCCGAGCAGTTCACGTAGAGGTTTTCTTGATGTCATATTCAGATTCACAGCTTTGCTTAGGGAGGGCTCGTTGCTTCAGGTCGAGCTGTGCTTATTCTCCCGCAGCTTCACGTGCAGGGTGTTTAGAGCATTTTGGCCCCTTCTCGTTGTCATCACACACTATCCGAAATCCTAACACCCGCTGAACCCAGCCACAGCTTGTGTCAGGAAGAGTCAGCAGCCGAAGTTGCTTCGGAAGTCTTTTGAAAGAGGTATATCAGGGAACTCTGAGCAAAGGCATTATAGTATGCCTCGAGCTCCACAACTAGCGCTGCATGTTACGGGAGAGTCCGTCAGAATGTGAGCCATCCCAGCGGAAGCCGATAAACCATCCTCCTCTCTACACTCCTGACACCCTTCCAGTTGCGAAGCTTCCAGGTCTCCGATGCTTTCAAGGAGAAAAGTGGGGCAGAAGCTCCTCAGCTGCAAGGGCCCGGAGTCACGGATGCTTTTGGCTGTTGCCCGAAGCCCTCAGCCCTACCAAGACTTGAGCCCAAGATGGAGTGCTGGATGCGCTTCGGATTCGGCTCCGGGCCTGCTCCGACCTCCTCCAAGACCGCCCGAAGCCCCAGCTGCAACCCCCACCTCCACCCGACCCACACCACCACCGCCGCCGCCCGCACCACTGATTGTAAATCATAGCACGGCTGTGCTCCACCATGGCCCCCCAACCTTGTGATTTCTTTCTTTCTTGTCTGCAGTGACAGTCGGGATCCGCTTTCAACTGCGCCGAAAGATTGGATTGACATGTAGGCGTACTTGGGGTTTCTGTTGGTGCGTCAAAGGGTTCAGGGGTCTGGTCCCTTAGGTAGGGTCCAAGTCACGGGAAGACAAAGAGAGATAGAGAAAGATTGAGTGTGTGTGAGTGTGTGGGCACGTGCACGCGCACGTGCGGGGTGGTCTCCCACTCTTAGCCAGAGCGAAGAGTGGGAGAGGAGAAAAGAATTCAATGGACAGCAGGGAAGGAAGGAATCAGATGAGAGAGACAGTTTCAATCAATCACGGATGTAAATGCAATCACGCAGGAAGACATGAGAAAAAGATAAAGGTGTGAACGATGAGGAATGATAGATTCCACCTCCAGAAACTGTTGCGCCCCAGTAAGCTCCAGGAGCACATCACGGTGGCGATCTCCCCCACGCAGGATCCGCAACCTGGAGTCGATAGTGGCACATGAGCACTGATCAAAGTCCTAAATCCAACTCCTAAAGCCCCTGAATTCCTAAACGAAACCCTGGCTTCAAATTCCTACACCATTTCACCCTAGATTCCTAGACCGTAAAATTCCTCTTTTCCAGCAAACCCGACGGGGCCAATCCTGGGATCGCTCAGACACACTGAAACGAGAAAACCATGTAAGTCCATAAAAACCTACATAAATCCCTGAACATTTTTCAAAGCCGAAACCCAAGACCCAGCCACAGGAGCTTTGGGCAGTGGGTGCCGGCTCGCAAGGCTGCGAGGGTTCCTTTTTGCACACTTTCCCACCAGTTCTATGCAGTTTATGGTTTTCGGATAAGCTCGGTTTTACGGCTTAACCGTGGGACACTCCCCCGAAGCCGAAGCATTGAGTGAACTGCCAAACAAAAGCGCTCCGCTGGGAAACACAAGGCTCGTGGTTTTAGGCCTACGGTTCCCAACTTCAAAGTCTACTACTAAACTCCTAAGCAAAAGAGTGAGGAAAGCAGCGTTCTGCCGCTGCCAAGGCCAGGAGCTTTGGGAGTTTTCAAGGCTTCGGAGTCGCTTCGGAGCTCAGGATGTAAAATGGGGGGCTCTTGAAACTCAAGGATTAGGGTTTATACGGCTTAGGGAGTGTAGGGTTTTGGGAGTCTAACTGAAGCTGAAAATTAGCAAACTCTGCAATTGGGAAGCTTATCCTGCAGAAGGTTGGCCTGCGCTTGCTGGTGTCCTTCACTACTCGGATCATCTTTAGCCATGTCTAGGATTCAGGCACTCATTGAGCTGCTGACGCCCGCAACTTGAACAGAGCCTCATTACCGTATCAATGGAACCTCGGGTGTGGGTGCCTTTCTAAATTTCAAGGTGTCAAACAGTAAGACGGTCTCCTGAATCCTGCTTCCCGACAGCTTTCCTTGCTGTCGCTTCATGGGCGCACCAGGCAGGATGTCTGATGTAGGGTTTCGGGCTCAGGGTCAAGGGTCTCGGGTTTAGGACATGGGTTCAGGTGTATGAGGTCTAGTCTAGTGTTTCGGATTCAGGGAAGCACCTGAATCTAAAGCTAGGTCATGAGGCCCTAGAGCTCAAACCCACTATACCTCGCTTGCACGCCTTCGAGTGTGGTCCCACCTGAGGTTGCCTTGGCAACGCAGGTGGCCTTGTACAAGGCCGAGTGTGGGGAGGAGACCGATTCTAGCCAAAAGCCTCTCTCTTAAACCGCTTCAACCCTGTAACCCACTGAGAAGCAAAAGCTGGCCAAAGAAGCAACAGAGTTTCTTTTCCAGGAGCTGCCTGATCTCTCCAAGCTGCCGGCCTTCGCATCTTTTGTGGAGGCCGGCTTGAGGGTTCAGGGTTGAAGGTTTAAGCCTAAGCGGCTTAAGGCTTAGGGCTTAGGGGTTTAAGGCAAGAAAGCCCTGTCTAGATTCTGGGGTGGGTGGTTCTGGGTCTTATCTTGATCCAGAACGAGAGCCCTGTTCGAACTCAAAGACCGTCCCGCTTCCACTCATATACAGGTCTTGCAGTGGGCACTCAGAAGAACCTGCTAGGATATCATGTGCCGGTTGCCGCGGTTCCGATAGTTTTGACAGCTTGTTACACGCTTGCTCCGTTCTGTGCTTCACGACCAGACACTTTCAGGAGGCGCAGAGTGCCAAAGAGTGAGTGGCTCCTATAGGACCTAGGAAAGGACAAATGGGGCCTAAGTGAATGTATCAGGAGCGACGTGTCGCGCCGTAGGTAGGGTGTGGGGAGGCAGCACCTACATAAACCCCCAAGCCCTAAACCTTAAAGCCTGTTTGTCTGCTGTTGTTTGGCAGCAAAACAAGGCAAAAGGGAAGGCTCCTCGGCCTCCAGAATGTGCAGCAGATTCAAGCTTCGGGTGGAGCACGCCCGTGTGGGGGCATGTTCCCGCAGTCAGCCCCACGAGTTTCGCGAGACAATTTAGCTAGGCATCGAGGCCACCCTGAGAGGGCAAGAGAACCCCTGCCGGCCGACTGTCGACGTCGACGCTACACATGCGACAGTCAGACGAGGTCGGTAACATGAAGCGCAATCGTACTTTACAGAAGGTGTCAGTTGCATGAGATTTATGCGGGTTGGGGTTTTATAGATCGTCTAAAGCAGGGTTGGTTTGGAAGCTCTTTGTACAACGAGTGTTATGCACATGGCCAGCGAGCTCTAAGTTGTCGAGATAGGTCCAAGCCAAGTTTTCATGACTGACGTTCGTGGCTGCATCCCCATCCAGGGTCAGAGCAGGGTTCAGGGTTTAGAACCTTGTCTCTCTTGGCCTCATCAACTTTGCGTGGTGCGACCATATGTACGGAGACAAAGCATTGAACAAAAGGTGCCCTCGCTTCGGACTTCTGCAGCTTTCCGAGTTTATCGTTGTGAGTCTCTTCTTCAGGGTTTGCAACACTACTCCAGGTTTCCTAGAGAATCCCAGAGAAGTTTACAGCTTTGGGGCCTGTCCGATGCTTCGGGGATTCAGGATGTTGGAAGCCCTGCACCCTTGCAACCTTAAACCCCGAACAATCCGAAGCCCAAACCTTGTAACCCTCCTTGGAGATCAGGGCCCCTGAAAGGCGTGCAGCCTTCGGATTCGGAGACCTGGGGCTTAAAGCCTCAGACTCTAGAAAGACATCCAGGAGCAGTTTAGGGCTGAGGATTCGATTTTAAGCTTAGGGCTTCGAGTTTCCCATGACTGCCCGCTTGAACTACCAAACGCAAGTTCCGACCGTTGAGAACCTTAAAACCCGAAAGCTCAACAATGTAAATTTCCAGTCCTGCAACTACACAAATCCAAACCCTGCGCACATACATTGTCACCGTTTTACCCAACTTCGACACAGCGTTGACACGCCCTTCCGCGGGTCTGAGTGCACGATCTCGCAAAAATCATCGTAAGGCAGCTCTCATGGTAAGCGCTTCGACAACTTGCGACATGATAGCCGTAGCACGGACGCAGCTGTTTTTGCTTGTCTGTCTATCTGCATATCTGCTTTTGTGCGTATCTGTACCTGCTATCTATCTGTTTGTCCACGTGTGCATCCATCTATCTCTTTCTCCATTTATCCATCTACCTGTCTCTCTATCTGTCTAAATTATCTATCTATCTTTCTGCCTGTCTGTCTGTCTGTCTGTCTGTCTGTCTGTCTGTCTGTCTATCTATAGATTCACATGCCTGCATACATAAGCGCAAACTTACATGCATCCATCCATCCATCCATCCATCCATCCATCCATCCATCCATCCATCCATCCATCCATCCATCCATCCATCCATCCATTCATTCATTCATTCATTCATTCATTCATTCATTCATTCATTCATTCATTCATATCTACGTATATGTCACACACGAATTAATGTGTATGTGTATGTGTATGTGTATGAGTATGTGTATGTGTATGTGTATGTGTATGTGTATGTGTATGTGTATGTGTATGTGTATGTATGTGTGTGTATGTGTGTATGTATGTATGGGTATACATACATGATTACGTGATATCCATGTACACATATACACGTGTATGCATATGCATAGATATCTTTCGGTGTGTGTGTGTATACATTTCCTTGCACAAGTTATGTTCCGTTCGATGTTCTCGGTCGGCTGGACTTGTGGCGATGCAGGGTCAGGGATCTCCATTCCAGCTGAGAGTTGAGAGTGCTTCTTAAGTGCCTTTTCTTGTATAGGTTCTGGATGCCTTCATAGGATCTTCAAAAGCCTGTTTTTGCTGACCTTCTACTGTCAGGGAGCAGAGGTAAGAAGGACAATGAGTCGCTTTTGCATGCAGCATCCTCTGAAGCCACCCCGGCGCATTCATTGGCTCGAGACCCTTCATGGGCGACCACCGGAAACCCCACCCGCTTGGTCGTCGAGAGCGAAGAACGCTGCGCTCTTACAGCGAACCCGAGAAGGTGTGGATTGAGGATGATAGACCGAGCATAATGACAATGAGGTTCCATATTTCTAGCTTCTTCTGTCTGAAACGGCTGCCAAGCCTAGATTGCTCAGCCCCTTAAGGGTTTTTTTCGGGTGTAAGGCAGGCGGTTGGCACTGGAAGGTACAACCTCAGGTGTTGCTGTGGTCCTGGCCTTCCCCAACCCGGGCCCTGCAGCCTGGCACCATAAACAAGAGGGCCAAGAGGGGTCTTCATTTTTTTAGAACAGGGTTTTGGATATTACAAAGTTTAAGAAGGAGCCCCTGAAACAGTACTGGTAACTATTTAGGCCCGAGCCCGGAGCCCCAAAACCCTAAGCCATGGGCTGGGCGGTTGAGCCAAGAGACGTGACACTCCCAGGTCCATACTTATGGCATTTCGGCTCCTCGCCAGCCTGGTCCTTGGACCTCAGCTGGCGGCGGGCCAGGCGAGACAGTCGAAGAGCTATGAAGATGGGTAGTTTCCGAAAATCGTGCCGCCCCTCAAGCCTCGCCTCTAAACAAAGAGTACCTTGCTGATCCTCAGCGGAGGCAAAGTAGCTCAGGGGTCCAAGTGCTCGCGCTGGCACCTCCACAGGGTTCTTATGTCATTATCTGACAACATACCACCAAAAATCGTACTCTGCTTGTTACAGGTTTCTATGTCACAGGTGTTCTTGAGGAGGCTTTCCAGCTGCTTTGGGCTTGCAGAGACTGGAGTATCAAACTTAAGCCGACCCCAAATGGATGGAAGGAGCCTCAAAAAGAAGCCCCTGCTTTTCTGAATGCCTTCAGGCAGCCTGCAACTCCTGAACCGTGCAGGCCTGTCAGCGCACTGTCCTCGATGCTGTCACCGTCAGTGCTGCTGGCTGGGAGGACGGGTTGACTTCAGGATCCCTTGTCGAGAGGTCTTGATCGTCCGGACACTGTCGGTCTACAGCTCCTTCGTGTCGGGAATTGCAAAGCTGTGTGTGAATGACACCTCATGCATGTCCACGGTCATGAGCAGACATGTTGTGCATACTTGTTTTCCGCTGCCATTAGGGCCCTTGAGTCTTACCAGATAGCTGTGTAGTTGAGTGGTGAAAAGTCCAACCAGTTCCAAACTGGTAGCGGAGCCGGTACCTCCTTGGTGGACCGGCCGAGCGAGGACGAAGTAGCCTGTAGTCCGTGGGACCTGGGCGAGTCCTTAACATCGACCCAAAGCTTGCAGTTACATAGCCTAACTTCCTCCAGCAGTGTCCGTGGCGGGACTCAGGTATTCCCGACCAACCCACTTTAATACTCCTTTGCAGAATAGATCCGGTAGTTATATCTACGACAGAGCGCCCAGCACTGGGAATTTAGGACCTCTATGAGGCTGGCTTAAATTGTACGAGGACGCGATACGCGCCAAGACAAAACCGTCGACTAACGGCGATAAGACTATCGACCCAGACGATAGCGACGACAGCCACACAGAGTCCGCAAGCCCTACTCGGGCTGCAGCCGCCGCACCTGTGCCCGCCGAGGACAGGCCCGACATGGAAGCAGGAGCAGCAGCAGGGCGGATCTCCGACAAGACCGCGAGCCACGACACCGAAGTCTGATGACTCGGGTTCTGTCAGAAGTGTCCCGGCAGCCTTGCCGATGGATGAAAAACCACGTCCTACGCAGTTAAAGCGAGGACGCAAGTGGTTCACAAGGTGCTTGAACGACTTCGTCCCGCATGTATGCCTGACGGACTGCCGTAGTTTAGCCGATCACCTAATTAGTGAAGCCCCTGCTAGGGTTCAGGACAAGAGGTTGAACGAGCTGGGTGCGCTTCGCCAATCTGAATCTGTCTTCACGGAAGATGGCATCAGAACAATAGAGGCTTACCCCGCCGGGGGAGACCGAGTTGATTGGGTTGATACAGCAACTCAGGTCGCAGATTGTTAATCAAGGTAACAGACATGCAGAATCAGTCGTGCGAAAGTGTAGTCGTAGTTCGCAGACGCTACGAGCAGGACATACCTTGTGTGTACCATAGTAGCTGTAGTCGTTGAGCATTAGACTGCAGACACCACTCACATGAGGATGACAACTATGTCGTACCTCCAGTGGTTAATTCGGTAGCTCATGACGTGAGAACAGGTTGAGTGTGAATGACACCTCATGCATGTCCACGGTCATGACCAGCATGTTGTGCATACTTGTTTTCGGCTGCCTTCGGGGACCTTGAGTCTTACCAGATAGCTGTGCCGTTGAGTGGTGAAAAGTCCGACCAGTTCCAAACTGTGCTTTCGGCTGGGACGGCTCCTGGAGAAGCATCCCGTGTGGGCGCATCGGATTGCGAGGGTTTCATGATGGCTTTTTGGCTTCGCACGATGGGTCTTTGTCCAAAGCCTGCTCCCCATGGGAGATTATGCGAAAAAAATAGACAGAGTAAAGATAAAATAATACGAGCAAAGCCAAGCAAGGATTCAAACAGCAGCCTTTCCCGAGGATGGCCCGGGAGGTCAGCAGCTGCTCCAGTTGACTTTCGTCCGCAACATCTCGATGAGCTCCAGTATAAGGTTTATCGTTTTTTCTTTTGGGTCTATGGTTTAGGGTTTCATAGCTCGATGCATTCGAAATTTAGGGTTTAACATAATTAGAAAGGGATTTTGACGTCCATTATACTACAATCACTAGCCTTCCAGGTGAAGAATTTAAGGCTTTTGGGCCAGGTCACAGGTTTGCATGCTGGGTCGCCTGGAAACCTGTGAGGGTCCATTGCAGACACCGAGCAGTTGCGCACAACATCGACAACGACGGGTTCTCCGCAGGCAGTTCCAGCAATACTTCTTTCGGGTGCACAAAAAAACCTCCAGCGCCTCAGCCACCAGGCGAACCAATGAACAAACTTAAGGCTGCAAGCCTTATGCCAATGTCCCCCGAAGACTTCAAACTCCGGAATCTTGAAGTGCCAGCCGCCCACACGCAGAATCACAGAAACTCCGGGATGCGAACCTGCTGTTCGTAAGGTACAAAGCTCGGGCTGCTCGGGTATGGGCTTTAAGGGTAAGACCTCGCAGAAGCTGCCGGAAGCAAGGACTTCTCGAGAGATCCATCATCCTCGATTCCGTCAACTGCAGGCGTGTTCCCGCTGCCTGTGAATTTCTGACATATCGCTGCAGATCTAGTTTCCAGAGTTTTTCCTCGGCCTGAAATGCTGTGCAACAAACTCTTGTCTTGCGTTGCAGATTGCCTTCAAACGGTTTATGCTTGTGCGAGTCCCAGGCCCAGCATGTTTGAGCCCTCTGTTATCCTTTTCTCGGGCAGTAGCTGGAGCTTGTATGCTGCTGTATGCTACCTCCACGATCCGTGCTGCTTCCTGTTCTCTAGCTTCGAATTCTGTGACGAGCTCGTACTGCGACGAACGCTGCTGCAGCTGCGGCTGCCGGTCCAGGAACGCACAGAAAGCGACCCGTTGGCGGAGGCGGAGCACATCAAAGAGGAGATTAAGGCTCTGGAGGATCGCCCGGACTGCACGGAGCCCCGAAAGAAACCAGGCAACCTCAAGGTCTCGGCAGGTCGACGTAGGTCCCATCGGAAGTTTAGGCAAAACCTCAACCTGCGGGGATTCAGCAATTTGGTAATCGATTCGGAGAAGAGATGGAATCGGCCCATGCGGGAGAGGAAGAGCTGAAGAATGCCAACAGCACCACGGGGGTCTCCCGGCTCCAGCGCATTTGGAAACGATTTTTGGAGCTGTCTCCAGCTTTGTCTATCTGCGCATGCAGGACTGCGATTCCTCATCCCCAATCCCCAGTCACCTTCAGTAATTTAGCCTGCGAGATTCAAGGTTCCTAGTACGTCGACCACCACAGCGAAGCCGAAGAAGCTTTCGACCACTGTGGGCCGGACGACGTCCGCTGCCAATGCCGCCTGATTCTGATTCCATGATTTCAGTTGCAGAGAGGGCTTGTGAGTCGTAGGTCTACCTATGAAAGCATTCCGGCGAGGCATTCGGTGTTGGGGTGCTTCGTCGGTTGAGCGGTGGCCAGTTTTGGACTGTTACGGTGTTGGCGGTGATACTCTATGCATGCACAGTGCAAGAACCAAGTGGTGATTGGCATCTGTTCTTTCGGAGCTGTTGCGAAAGCGCCACAGGAAGGTGATGTTGATAGTCATAGAGTCGCTGTTTGTTCAATGCCTGTCTGAGGTCTCTGCCGCGCCGGCAGCTGCGACCAATAAGACAGCAGCTACTGCGGCGCATGCCAGTAAGGCGGCCCCCACCAACGTGTCGACAGCCAAGGAGACGGTGAACAGCACCGCTAGCAGCAAAAATAGCACGGCCGCCACCAAAAGCAGCAACACCACCGCCAAGGCCGCCAAGGGCAACAGCAGTGTCTCTAAGGCCAGCACAATAGGTGCAGGCGCGAAAGCCACCAAGGGCAACACCAGTGGTTCCACTACCGCTGCGCCGAAAGCTGCAAGCAAGAGCCCGGCCAAGGAAGCTATGGCAAGATTTTGAGTTGGGGAAATTTGGAACTTCGATTTGCGACATTGTGCTATCCGATGCGAGTGGGGCTCTGTGACAAGCATCCTCTTTTCAAGCATCCTCTTTTGGCTCATCGGATTGTGCAGGCGATCGGCCATTCCTGAAGTGTAGGATGTCCCTATCTTAGAGCCTGCAGGCGACGAACACATTAGACTTGAAAATGAGGAGTTGTTTTTATTTAGAAAATGTGTGTATATGATTATAGAACAATGTACCCTCATACTATACGACCATATGCTACAGTATGTGCTACAGTATACTGTACCAGAACCAAAGCACTAGATACCCTTAAACTATGCCGTAATGTACCCTTGAACCCTACTGTCGGTGTCAGAACCCATCCTGAGGAAGCCGCCGGAGGAAAGCAGCTGCTCCAAATGACTTTCGTCGGCAACAGCTCGATGCATTCCAAAAAGTCAGAGAAAATCGGCCTTAATAATTAAAGACTAGTGTTGCAGGGTCCATTGCAGAAAAGTCACACAGGGACCGTAAAGGAACATCTGTGCAATGCTAAGAGTAGTTTCTCAGGTATGATTCGCTGCTTCGGCATGGCCAGGTTGGTTGAGGCGTTTTGATTTTACTTCCCTGATTCCAAATGTCAAGAAACTGTGCCTACGGCCTAATGTCGACAAATGATCTCTGCATGCAGCGTGGCAATGCTACTGTCGGGTGCACAAGTGCGCTCCGATGCACTGGGCATTTAAGCTGCCTAGCCCAGAAGACGCGAAGGTAGGGCCAAAGGCTGCAAGCCGCACACTCTGGCGCATTGCAAGGATGTCTCGAACGACCTAAACCCTGGTGGAAGTGTTTAGAGTGGTGCGAAGCTCGGGTTGCTAGGATCCTCATTCTAGGAAACCCCTAAAGAGAGATTCCTACTTTAGGAAGCACCCATATAGCCATATAGCTTAATTTTGAGGTACTGGGCTCTCGTATGGTGATTTGTGTGGGTTACAAACTGCAGCAAGGACGTCGCGGGAGCTTCAGGACCGACCTCGCTGTGGCGGTCGACATGTCTGGTTCTGACACCTCGCTTTCGTTGCGGAGTATGTTTCAGCGACACCCCAAGCCCCTCAACTCCCTGAAACCCCATGCTCTTCTTATCCCGGGCCTCCTAAACCCTGAAAGCCCATAATGGGGTTGCAGATCGACGAAACGGGCTCCCGCCGGGCTTTGTGAGGAGCCACCGCAGGAGCCGGAAGGTCCAGTGAGGGCCATTGAGAATGTCATTGGTGGCGGCTGGACGGCCTCGGCATTATTTGTGTGGTTTTAATCATTGTTTAGCACTCTATGCTTAAGCCGTGGGGCCAGGAAGTTTCGCATTGCTTCTGCTCGGGCACTCTGCTCGAGGGGTGCGAAAATTGTCTGACCAGCAGCCTGCGTGAGCAACCTGTGGCTGTCAACAGGCAAAGAAACCTTGAAGCCTATGCTCTGAATTCCAAGCCCTGACCTCTAAACCATGAAACCAACCTATACCGTACCACGGGCCGACTTCACAGCTAAATTTGAGGTCTGGTGGCTGCGGTCACTTCCAATGCCACGACGCCCCTCGGTGCTTAAGGCTGGGTTTCTGCAGCTCAGAACTGAGGGTCCGTTGTCGGTGTTGAACTCGGCCTGTTGTGAAAAGCCATCCTCTTCTGCATGCGGCTGGCTCCACAGACGTGCGGCGCGTCGATCTTCAGCCTCAACCCAAGCCCGACACTTCAAGCCCTCAACTCTGAAGCTCTGAACCCTGACCCCTGGACTTTTGGGCGGAGCATCCGTCTTGCATTCCGAGGACGACTGGTGAGGTGCCATGGCAGAGAAGAATATTTATCGGGCCCTTCAAAGCCAGTTCCAAAACAATGCAGCAAGAGGTCTGCATGATGTTCACAGAGGATTTGCTTCTCCACCCCCTACATACTTATTTGTGTCAAGTTGGAGCATACTCCCTGAACCCTTTTCGAGTTATTAAAGCCTGTATGCCGTCTGTCGACGTCTCTCAATGCGCAGCATATCGCATCAGAGCCAGGATGCTATGTTATGCAGGGCCTTGAAAGCTTCCCGAGCCCCGTGGAGGAACAACACATCTTTGCCTGGAGAGTCTTCGGCGCATCTTGCCGAGCTCAGCTCTTGAGTGCCCCAAAGCTTCAGTCTCCAACTTCCGAGAGCATGTCCAGTATACGTGTAAAATGAACATGTCACCACCAAAAAAAACCACAAGCCTGATGTCTGCAGCTTCTCTGCTACGCGCTGACTTTGAACCCAGGAGGCGCCAAACACCGGCGCTGCAGTAGAAAAGGCCATCGGGTTCTTATTCTGTTTCTCAAAGACTTTGGGCGCATCTAGGCCTGAACGATTCGGAATCGGCTGCAGGCGCCTGTCACTCTGCCTTCCATTCGGGACTCTCGAGTAACAAGCCGCTGCCGCAGAGAACTGTTTGCGTCTTTTGCATGTGGCTCTTCAGACTGCTGGCAGGAAGCGGAAGAGGCACGCTGATGACCACAGCTACAGCCAATGAGCTTTTGGGGAATTCATGAGCTGCTCTTCAAGTTGACATGCTAAGTGTGGATCCGAGATGCCCTGACACCTAGAAGAGGCAGTATGGGATTGAGGCTTTGTGTCAATCCTGCCGTCACCTCCTAGCCTAGAGGTTGAAGTAGAGACCAATTCTTATCATGTATATTCCCCATCGTCCCGACATTAGCACAATGTACTCTACGGGCTACCCAGTCGGATTATATTAGCCGCTTGTTCTATCGAGCTTGCTTCGGATTGTTGGTTTGGAGCGTGGATGCATTGCCGGCCACGCCATCGTTCGAATTTTTCTGTCGGTCACTACGCGGCAAGGACTTTTGGCTTCGGAGGATTTTCGTGCTGTAGGATTTGGGATTTAGGGCTTAGGGCTCAGGGTTGTTGTTGCGGCTGATGCAGTGGAGGCTGTTTTGGACACCAGCACGCATGGACAGGCACGCAACGGCAGCTCCGTTGCTACATTACAAGCTCAAACATGAACGCATAGGAAGCTTCCCGCTTGGTTTGAGAGAAATCCTGCGGCGCCTGTGACAACGCTTGAAAGCTTATCGAAGTTCCTGTTTATGCAGAGTTTTTCCTGAATTAGGGTATTGGGTTTTGAGTGCGTGCCCGCCCCCGAACCTAGTCTTGTTATGAAGGCCCTGATCCTAATCTCTATCTTAAACACACCCCCCCTAGACCCATAACATAGAACGCTAGAACATCCAGGCTGAAACGACGCTCCCATCGTAAACCCCCCAAAGCCAGAGAACCCTTGAGCACCCCTTTCAAAAAAAACACCAAACCAAACACATTCCTAAGAGAGGGGCTCAATAGATCAATATGTCAATACATATATATATATATATATATTTTGTTTTTTTTGTTGGGGGGGTTCCTTACTATAACTATAGTATAGTAACATACCCCAAAACCCTATTCTAGTTGTTAAGGCCGCTACATTACTCAACTTGTTCGAGCTGCGCAGGCTGCCGAGCACATCAGGGAGGAGATCGGGGCACTCGAGGACTCCGACTGCTAGGCCTTAGGGTTTAGGCTTTGGGGTTTAGGGTTTAGGCTTCAGGGTTTGGGGTTCAAGCTTTAGGGTCTAGGGTTTAGGCTTTTTAGGGTTTAGGCTGTTTTAGGGTTTAGGCTGTTTTAAGGTTTAGGCTTTTTAGGGTTTAGGGTTTCGGCTTTAGGGTTTGGGGTTTAAGCTTTAGGGTTTAGGGCTTAGGTTTTTTTAGGGTTTAGGATTTGGGGTTTAGGGTGTAGGCTTTAGGGTTTGGGGTTTAGGGTGTAGGCTTTAGGGTTTGGGGTTTAGGGTTTAGGGTTTGGGGTTCGGGGCTTTGGCCTTGGGCTCTTGTAAGGTAGATTCCTGGTAAGCAGAGGCAACTTGGTGTTTGCCGTGAATGAGCCCGATTGCAGAGTTTGGCAATTCAGGGTTTGGTGTGAACGAACGTGGTTTTGGTGTTTCGAAAAAATGCAATTTTGAGGGCCTTGATATGAGGATCCCCATTACGCTCATTCTTACTGGGGGAAGCGAGTTCATCATTCAAGATTCTAGATTACGAGCTGCTGAGCCCTTGAAGCGAGAAGTATCTACATGAGGTTTTGTCATCTCCCAACTTGAAGCCCGAGGCAAAACCGGATGTGATTGGAATGTCGCGCCGACTTATCGGGGAGGTTCTGTTCTCCAAGTACATGTAGTCTGTGGTGGGTCGCCAAGGGACAGCGGCCCTTTTTAGTCAGATACGCTACTTGAACCCAATATTGGTTCAGGGAGCGTGATGTCGCACCCATGTCTCTGAGAGGACGTCCTGAATGGCAGCAACAGCAGCAACATCAGCATCAGTGCAGGGGTCTCCCGGCGTGCACGTGTGCAAGATTCTGTGAGCTCGGCTTCAGAAATATCCTGATGTAGAAGCCACGAGGGGTTTCGGAGGCTCAGCCTCCGAGATTCTAAGGCTGTTAGTCTGTCGACCACTACGACGAAGTCGCAGAAGCCATCGACCACTGCTGCCCCGACAACGACGAGCACAACTACACTCTCCCCGGAAGCTGCCAAGGCTTCCTTCTGACATAACGAATGAAAGAAAGACAGAGGCCTGAAAGGTTAGTAACATCCTTGCTTCGGGTTCCTTTAGCTTAGAAGGCTTTAGAATAAGCTCCCCAGAATCCTTCTCGAATTTTATGAACGCATTTCCAGACGCGATGGGAAAACCCGGTATGCAGGGAGACAGAGAGATGGGAGGGAACCTTGGGCAGAACCCGACATCGTAGGCTTCTCAGCATCAAGGCTCTGCACCACAGAGCCCCTAATGTTGGGAAGCTCCTAGGAGCAGCCTGTGATCCCGAACTGCTGCCTCGTCCAGCTGGAAAATCACGAAGAGCCAGAAGGTATGTCCACCCCAATTGCTGGGAAGGAGATTGAATGGTGGGAGATTTTGTTTTATGGATCCAAGAGCAAGAACGAATATGCCGCTCCACCAATCACGGTCGTAAAGTATGGAAGAAAACTGACGGTGTCGCAGACGGACAGCAAGTTCCGCTTCATGACTTCAAATTCGAGAGTGGCGCACTTGCTTGCAGGGATCCGGTTCCATGCGCTACCAGCTAGTCTCGGTCGTGACTGCACCTGCTGCCCGTTTAAGGTGTCTACCACCACCGGTGGGTCCACTGCAGAAAGCACAACAGCCTCCTCTACTGCTCCAACAACCACCATCGCCAGCGCCACCACCACCACCACCACCACCACCACCACCACCACCACCACCACAACGGCTGCTAACGCTACCAGCAGCAAAACAACACCACAACCGCCACCAGCGACCACCACCAAAACAACACAACCGCCACCAGAGCAGCAATCGAGCAGCACGACGGCCTCTGCCGCAACCAACACCACGGCTGCCGCCGCCGCCACCCCCGCTGCCGCAACCACCAGCACCACGGCTGCTGCCGCGACCACCACCACCACCACCACTGCCGCCACCACCACTACCACCACCACTGCCGCAACCACCAGCACCACGGCTGCCGCCACCACCGCCACCACTGCAGCAACCACCACCACCACGGCTCCCGCCACCACCACCACCACCACCACTGCAGCAACCACCAGCACCACGGCTGCTGCTGCCACCACCACCACTGCCGCAACCACCACCACCACCACTACTGGCATCACCAGCAGCACGACTGCTGCCGCCACCACTGCCGCTGCCAGCACAACTGCTGCCTCCAGCACGACTGCCGCCTCCAGCACCACTGCTGCCTCCAGCACCACCAGCACCACTAGTACAACCAGCACCACCAGCACCACCAGTACCACTAGCACCACTACGTCCACGACCACGGCCGCGACTACTACGTGCTTGCCTAAGCGAAGGGTAGCATGCAAGATGCGTCGCATGCAGGCGTTGTGTGAGTCTTTACACCAGTTTCGCCAGTTTTGGCTTCAGAAGGACATGTCTTGGCCATCAGCTTGCATGTCTGCTGAAGCTTTCAGCTTGAGAACCTTTGTGGTTGGTGTTGTGTGCGCGCTCGCCCGAACGCATCTTTGGTTGTGTGTGTGTGTGTATGAGTGTATGAGTTTTGTAGTCTGTCCCTTCCTGTGCAGATGCCCTGATGTGCGAGGCTACGTAGGGATGCCCTGGTGTGTGAGACTGCACCTTCCTGCGCACTCTCTCCAAGAATCCGACATGATCTTGTGCCCGCCAGACCTTCCATCCTGGCTTCCGTCAGGAATCATGCCGTCTGTTTTTCAGTGATGAGGTCCACCACTGCCGCTGCCCTCGTGGAAATGGAGGCTGCCGTTTTCAGCTGTCGAAAGTACTCTCTCAGTGCATGCCAGAAAGCTAGAGGTCTGGCTGTGAGAGCAACCAAGAGAAGAGCTTTCTTAAGGATCGCTGGGTTTGCAGGGCTTGGACTGCTAGGTTCGACGTCTCTTGGATCACTGTGACATGGGCCCTACTTCGGATTGCCCTCAAAATTGATGTTCGAATCTCGTCTTGTTACACAGGAAGCTACGAGCAACACAGATCTGCAGCCGCTCGCCTGCAAGCCCATCGCAGCTCCAAGAGAGCGCAATACCCCTACAAGAAGGAATATACGAAATAAGTAAGTAAGTAAGTAAGTAAATAAATGAATAAGATAAGTAGGATAAGACAGATTAGTAAATAGGTAAACAGCTAAATCAAAAAGCACATGAGTACACACATGGATAGATAGATAGATAGGTAGATGGATAGATGGATAGATAGATAGACAGACAGATCTATCTATCTATCTATCTATTTATCTATCTATCTATCTAACTATCTATCTATCTATCTATCTATCTATCTTCATGGGTAGCGTTTGCACCTCTCCATGATGCACCCCCACAAAGTAGTAAGCATGTCATGGGCTCAGAAGGCAGTATTTGCGTCGCCAAAACTCAGAACCACGCTTGACAATAAAAGGACTTACAAACACTTATAGGGACTTATAAGGCTTTACCAAGACTTATTCGTGCTTAATAGAGCTTAACAAGCTTTAATAAGGCCTAATCGTTTGGGGGGGCGCATGCCTGCCACAGTTCAGGCTTCAAATTTAAAGGCATATTGCCCAAAGTTGTGGACGCCGCTAATAAGCCTTATTAAGGCTTATCAGATCTTACTAAGCCGAATTAGCGGTATCCATCTGCGGGGGCGCATTCTGGAGAGGCGCATAGTGGGCCCGTGATATCTATCTATCTATCTATCTATCTATCTATCTCTCTATCTCTCTATCTCTCTGTCTCTCTCTCTCTCTCTGTCTCTCTCTCTCTCTCGCTCTGTCGCTTCCATCTATCTGTCGACCTATCTACCTATCTG